TCCACACGCCTTTCTTCTCACTCCACAAGATGCCGCCAGTCAACTATCCACCAACCTCGAGACGGGTCTTACAGCCAGTAAAGTTCAATCGATACAAGCTTCACATCCACCCAATGAGCTTGATACCGGCGGTTCCATCTCTTGGTATAGAATCCTCATAAAGCAAATATCCAACGCCATGATACTCGTTCTTGTATTCGCTATGGCGCTTAGTTTTGGCGTAGGCGATTACATTGAAGGAGGAGTTTTGGTTGCCGTTATTGTACTGAATGTTATGATTGGTTTCTTCCAAGAGTTCAGTGCAGAGAAGAAAATGGATTCTTTAAGAGCTCTTTCTTCGCCATCGGCTTCAGTACTGAGAGATGGATCTGTCATTGTGGTTCCCAGTGCGGAAGTTGTCCCTGGTGATATCGTACTTCTGAAAACGGGAGATACGGTACCGGCCGACTTGCGCATTTTTGAAGCTATGAATTTGACCTGTGAAGAGAAGAGTTTGACGGGAGAATCTGAGCCAGTTGAGAAGATTACTTCGAATGAGATTTGTGTGCCTGGGACTCAAGAGAGAGCGACGATTGAAGAGCAAGTTGGCATTGCTGATCGTAACAACATGGCATATTCTACCACGACGGTTATCAAAGGCCGTGGCAGAGGAATTGTTGTATTTACAGGCATGCAAACTGAGGTTGGAAAGATCGCGGCTTCGACGACGAAGAAACAACGAAAAGAGGGGAGATCGATGAATTATAAGAAATATGGAAAAGCGCAGCCGGTTAAGGGAGCCGCTAGACGTACTTACGATTTTGTTGGAAAGTTCTTGGGACTTACGGAAGGTACTCCTTTGCAGAGAAAGTTGAGCAAGGTTGCGTATATCCTTTTTGGATGCGCAATTCTACTGGCTATCGTGGTGTTTGGTGTGAATCGATTCATCGTCACAGATGAGGTGGCTATTTATGCTATCTCAACTGGTATCGCGATAATTCCCGAATCTTTGATCGCGTATGTACACTCACTCTATTGTCTTCTAAAACCCAAACAAAAACTAACATTATTTAGAGTATTGACAATCACAATGGTTGTTGGCATGACCGTTATGCGTAAAGCTAACGTTGTCGTCCGAGATCTATCAGCCCTCGAAGCACTCGGAGGAGTTACAAATATTTGCTCCGACAAAACCGGTACACTTACCCAAGGAGCCATGATCGTTAAGAAAGTATGGATTCCCAAAATCGGAATCTATACCGTGAATCATTCTATGGATCCCAACAATCCTACCGAAGGTACTGTTACCAAAGCACCACACAAGTCCGAAGGTATGCAGACACCAGATTCTCCTAGCGAGACTGCAAAAATAGATTTCGATACTCAGCGCAGTGCTGCTGCTCTGAAATTTGACATTCCAGCCGAGAAAGCAGTTAGAGATGAAAGAAAGAACCCATCATCAGAACAAGAGGAAGAGCCAGCCGAAATTGTACCAGAACTTGAGAAGTTTCTTCAGTCTGCTGCACTCTGTAACCTTGCTACCGTTAAACATGAAGTAGTAGAAGGCGAGACGATTAAAAAGTGGCAGACGACCGGTGAGCCAACAGAAATCGCCCTGCAAGTATTCACTCATCGATTTGAATCTGGAAAAAGAGCCTTTGAAAGCAAAGGATGGAAGCAAACCGCCGAGTTTCCATTCGATAGTAGCATTAAGCGAATGTCCGTTATCTATCAACGACCAGATGTAGAGCATATAGTCTTCACCAAAGGAGCTGTCGAGAGAGTTTTGGATCTCTGTTCTTCTGTCGGAAGTGGAAAGACTAACGAAACAATGACGGACGATCTCAAGGAATCAATAATCCGACAAATGAATCGATTTGCTGAACAAGGTCAGCGAGTCCTCGCAGTAGCCGCCAAACCTTGGACCACTGCTACATCACAAGATAAGAATTCAAATGATGAGAGTTTACGAGGTGAAGTGGAACAAGATCTTACCCTTCTTGGTCTTGTTGGCATCTACGATCCACCTCGTGATGAGACAAAAGATGCCATTAGGGAGTGTACTCAAGCCGGTATCAAGGTTCACATGCTCACTGGAGATCACCCCTCTACCGCGAAAGCCATCGCGCAGGAAATCGGCATCATCCCCAGAAATCTTGGACAATTGTCTGCGGGGGTTTCGGCATCTATCCTTATGAAAGCGACGGATTTTGATCACCTCACTAATGCAGAAATTGATGCACTTCCAACTCTCCCTCTCGTACTTGCGCGTTGCGCTCCGGATACCAAAACTCGTATGATCCATGCTTTGAGAAGGAGAGGATTGTTCATGGCTATGACAGGTGATGGAGTGAATGACGCGCCCAGTCTTTCCGAAGCAGACGTCGGTATCGCCATGGGTATCGCTGGTTCCGACGTGGCCAAATCCGCAGCGAAGATGGTACTTCTCGATGATAAATTCAATAGCATCGTATCGGCTATTCGCGAGGGTCGTCGCATGTTTGATAACATCCAGAGATTCGTGCTCCATCTCCTCTCGTCCAATGTAGGAGAAGTGATATTATTAATCGCCGGTCTCGGGTTCCAAGATGTCAACAGACAATCCGTATTCCCACTGAGTCCATTACAGATTCTCTGGATCAACATGCTCACATCCAGTTTCCCCGCTTTTGGGCTGGGCAAAGAAAAAGCAAGTTCGACGGTCATGAGACGTCCCCCTCACGATAACAAGCGCGGTGTATTCACCACGCAAATCCTCGTCGATATGGTTGTCTACGGGATCCTCATGGGCGCCTGCACCCTTCTCACCTTCGTCATCATCATCTACGGCGTCAACGGTGGCAACCTCGGCAGCGATTGCAACCGCAGCTATGGCCCCACCTGCGGACCCGTCTTCCGTGCTCGCGCAGCAGTCTTCGCAGAACTCACCTGGTTAATCCTCATCTCGGCTTGGGAATTCAAATCCATCCGTCGCAGCATGTTTCGTCTAGATGCAACTTCGCAAAGCTCATTCCCGTTCTTCAAAGATGTCTATGAAAATCGCTTCTTGTTCTGGGCCGTGGTCATCGGTGCCCTCTCTGTCTTTCCTGCCGTCTACATTCCAGGATTGAATACTTCGGTTTTCAAACACGTCGGGATTTCCTGGGAATGGTCCTTAGCATTCGGCGCCGTGTTCATCTTCGTGCTGGGTATCGAAGCCTGGAAGGCGACGAAGCGATACTTTGGATTGTTTGAGCAGCTGGATGAGGAGGCGGCGGAGCGCGATCGCAAGTTGGGGTTGCGACAGGGATTCTTCACGTTTGCGAAATCGACGACGTCGGTGGGGAGATCGTCGGTGGATCAATTTTCGGTCAAGGAGAAGATTGCGGGGATGGGGGGGTTGGGGTCGGCGCCCACGACGAGATCGTTGCTCAAGAAGGAATCGAGGGGAGGATCGGGGTTGAGTGGGGATGAGGCAGTTTAGGATTTGGGTTTGGGTTTAGGGTAGGGTTTGGGTATTTGGTTTGATAGCAATAGCAATAGCTATAGCAATAGCGGAATATACATAGTATAGCATAGAATAACAAACAGCGTTTATTGATAGGTTATTAAGATGAGATAGGTTTAAGTTTAACTTCAAAAGAAGTGTGTACCAGAATCCAGATGAGAAATATTAGAAAGATCAAAAGCACATCGCAGTTTGTCAATCTTCCACTTTGATTATAGCTATTCTATACAACAAATCGATGCACTGCAACGCCAACCCAAAAGCCTCCTGTTGGTTTGAAGGATACGAATAACGCAGAACCTAAATGTAGGCTCTAATTGTTAATATGTAGGTATTCTGTCTAGTAAGCTAGTTGTTTATAGGAAGAAGCAATCTTAAATAAGCTCTGCTATGGGTCTCGCTCTTTTGTAGGCTATGAATGACTTGAGGTCATTCAATCAATCTTTGTTTATACACCCCCTTTAGCTTTCAACAAATTACTTTGAATTTCTCCCTAATTCCCCTCACCCTTCTATGCTCTACTCTGCTCTATCCTTTCGCCCTCCCTAAACTTAAAGAACACCCAAATATCCAATATCCAATATCCAACAAAAAGAAGCTCCGGTACTCCAATGCTCCAATGCTCCAATGCTCAGGTAATCAATACCTACATCTACATCTACATCTACATCTATCTCTATCTACACCACCAAACACCAATATATATCAAACCAAACATCGCTGTAGCTCCCCTCTTCTCCCCTCTTCTCCCCTCTTCTCCCCTCTTCTCCCCTCTTCTCCCCTCTTCTCCCCTCTTCTCCCTCCCCTCTTCTCCCCTCTTCTCCCCTCTTCTCCCCTCTTCTCCCCTCTTCTCCTCCACTAATATCACCATCTCACTTCTCCACCACTATCCCTCAAACTCTCTAATCTAATTCCAAAGAAAGCTATTCGATTCGATTTAATATGAACATTCAATGCCAAGAATAAAGAATAAAGAATAAAGAATAAAGAATAAAGAATAAAAAATAAAGAATAAAGAATAAAGAATAAAGAATAAAGAATATCAACTAGAAAATATAACATCATCTAGCCTACCTAGGTACCTAGAGATAGATTACTTTAGTTGTGATTGATATTGATAGAATGGTAGGATACCTAGGTTAATAAGAGTAGGACCATTTGATACCAATGCATGCACAAATCCCCGTCATCCAAGAGTGAAAAGATCGATTGGTCGATATTGATGGACTAACATCTCATACCAGTATCTTCACATGCACAAATCCCAAGAGTAAAATCCCACTTCAGGAAAGGAGAAAAAATTATCTATTGCAAGTAATCTATCTATCTATCTATTCGCAATGATATCCCGAACCAATACAAGAGTTCTTTTGAACCACCTACGTATACCTAATTCAATTCCAGCAAAAGATGATATCCCTCCGAGCTAGCTAATTATTGCCTATACCTAACGCCATGCAACTTGTAAAATGAAATAAAAATCCCATGAATAAAGATATGCCAGACGGAAGCTGATAACACTTCACCTTCCATCTTAAGCGCCCACCTCCTCCGTGATCGAAGCTGGTATATTTTCTTTCAACTCGGAGAACGATTCTGGCCATAAGAACATTTTTTCTTCTTTGGTTGGAGTAGCTGCAATGTACGAAGGAACCTTGAATGCGATGTTAGTATTAAGAAGTAATGACCAAGAAGGAGAATAACTTACAGCATTCTGACTCGAGACTCTTCTCCACAAGTTGGCTCTTGGGTTGAATCTAGCCGGCTTGCCTGCACCACCGGTCTTCAATTGATCCTCCTCAGCAATCTTCTCCACCTCCTTTTGAATATCGGCAAACGTATCAAATGGAATGTAAGGAATCTTATGTTCCACACAATACTCCTCCAATCTCAAACCCCTTCTTGCAAATAGCACATCTGCTTGTCTCGCCGCAGGTAAATCCGAAACTCCATCACCAATGAAGACAATCAAAGGGATAGTTCCATCTTCACATTCCAACTGAGCAAGTTCTCTCGCTTCAGTAATGGATAATGCTTTGTCATGACCCAACTCAGTGTCATGTCTCCACACCGGCTTCCACAGATTTCCATCCTCGCTAATCTCTGCCTCATTTGCCACGATTTGGATTCTCTTACTTTCCTCCTCTCCCAAAAACTTATCCAAGACTTTTCTCAACACCGGTTTCAACCCCGCACTGATAACATTGAAGGGAATATTGTTATCAATACAGAAGCGATGGAATTTTTGGAAATCCGGATCAATCTCGAGAGTTTTTTCCATGACGGCAAAACCATCTTCGAAGGGAACGCGGAGGGATCCCCACATCTCTTCTGAAACATCGCGGAAAGAACGTTCACCGGTTTTGATTTGTTCATCGAGAACCTGACGACGTTCTTCTCCGCATCCGTATGAATCGAAAAGGACGTGCCCGGTATCTTGCATGAAGATTGTGCCATCGAAATCTGGAGTGGAGATGTTAGATTTCTTATCTTGATATATCTCTATATTCTCATATAGATGGAAAAAAAAAGACAATACACCCGAAGAAACTCAATCAATTGAGAAATATATTGTTGGGGTACACCACTTTCTCATCCGGATAAAGTATATGAATATCAAAAAAGAAAGTACATACCCGAAAAGCAGATAATCTTTCTCTTGCAATTCAACATATCTGGATCTTGCGTGCGAGCGTAACTTGTTTTCTTAACTGCCAAATTGGTACTGAGAGTAGGTGGTGGTATAGTTGCAGAAGGCATTCTGAAAAGAAATCAAAACGGATGAAGAGGTAAATAGATAAATAAATAATGTGAGTATCAGGGGAAAAACGCTAGTGAGCCAAGTTTGAGCTAGGTAGGCACGGAAAGGTCGAGAACGATTCTTTTTTTTTTTTTTTTTTTTTTTGATTGATAAGATACCTAGTATGTAGGTAGGTAGGTATGTATGTAGGTATGTATGGGTATCTCGATGAACGATACGATGGAAGTGATGCGATGCAGTGATGCAAACAAGGAGGAGGAGGGATAAGAAATATGGGTTCAAACTTCCAAGTTGGAGGAAAGGCGGAGAGCGGGATGAAAATTGATATATATATATGGGTCTTTGTTGAAAGCTGGAGTGGGAATGTTTAAACGCCGTTGAGATGTTGGTGTTGGTGTTGATTTGCAGATTGCCTGAATGGAATGAATGAATGAATGAATGATTGATTGATTGATTGATTGATTGAACAGAAGTCGAGGGCAGTTTGAGATTTTTATATTCATTAAAGTGAAACTATTCCTTTATTTTTTCTTCCATCTACATCGTACTGTGTGATAATCTTCCCTTTTCCATTTCCATCTCTAGCCTCATCCATCCTCATCTATCCTCATCCATCCTCATCCATCCTCATCCATCCTCATCCCAAACAATGACTCCATCCTACATGATGCAAATGCAACTCAACAAAGATGTGTTTAAACTCGTGGACCAAATTCTCACGATCCTACTAGGTGCTCAAGTCATGAGTTTCTCGGTGTCTCTTGGGAAAGGTGCCCACCCATCACATTGACACAACTCTCTCTCTCTCTCATTAGTTCCAACCTTGGGGGGAAACGAGATATCGATGTCTCGAGGACAAATTCGATCTTGGTATCTGGAACCTTGGTGGGGCAATGGAATAGAGGGGCAGTGCGTGGAAAGAGTGATTGGTGGGGGAGTGTAATAAGCGTGGAAGAAAAGACGTGGGTGCGAAGGAACGGACAGAATGTTCTTGAAGATGCGAAGGATCTAGAGTTGGTTGAATTGTCATTGATTGTGATTGGATATAAATGGTGTGTTTGATTATTTTGACTCGAGTGAACAATTTAGATGATTATGATTCATCATATTTACCTACCTACTTCGTATAGTGGTAGTGCAGTGAGGAAAAACGCAGAGGACAATAGTCACCACAATACACACTGTGGGACATACATAATTGTACACACCTAATGACATCATACATCTAGACTCGCTACCCCAGTAACATAACACAACACACAACACACAAACCAACCAACCAACCAACCAACCGAATCAACAGTCCGGGGATAGACACCTACTAGATAGGTAGGTAGGAAGGTTGGTAGGTAGACAACTTTATTTCACATGCACTCAATTTTCTCATGCAAGCGCTTGGATGATGAATGGATCGTGGCTTGAAATTCTCCGTGTGGAATTCACATACTTCGTAGGTAGGTGCGAGAGTGTGAGAGAGTGTCTAAGATATCGGTAAGTTTGTTTGTTCGGTGTTTCAATCTATACAGATGTGTGTGTGTGTGTGCGTGTGTTTTACAGAGGACCTAGGTTTGTTGCAATTGCATTTGATTTTTTTGACTCAGTGCTCAGTGCTCAGTGCTCAGTACGTGGAATGATATCTCATGAAACAGATTCTGATACGGAGAGGGACTTCCTTTTTTTGTAATGCACTTTCCATTGTGTATGTAAGATTACATACTGTATGCACACACTGCACACTGTACTCCTGCGCTTCCTTTTCTCTTCTCGCTCTCTACTGCTTTGCGAGTGTGCTTCCTGCGCATTACCGAGAGTCTGAGACACACAATCTGCTCACCGATATGCTGACGCGGGGATTTAGGTACATATCATATTCTGTACGAGCACTCCGTACGTGATATTCGAATCCTGCATGCACGTTTTTGCATCATTGGTTAGCTAGCTGCTACAGTACCTACTAGGTAAATAACTAATCAATCATATCCAAGCAGGACCCGAGATGTCTATCCTTTAAGTAAGATCTTACCTACGGTATCTAGATGCGGAGTATGCATATTCCAACACGGCATAGATAAGTATCCAGATCGTCATTTTGCATATCTCACCTCACCTCACCTCACCTCACTACTCGAGTAACGAGTAACGAGTAACAAATAACATGATTGATTGATTCATCTGCATCTCGTCAGAGCTTAAAGGGCATGTGCCTCTTCTAGACTGCAGTCTACGCTACCAGGTACTGTTACCAGGTACTAGGTACATCTATCCACACATCCATCCACATGGGAAAAGAGAATGGGGTATACACACGATGCAATTCCGATTCTCAAAAATCCCGATTCTGACGAAAAGAAAAGAAGAGAAAAGAAATGAAATGATGTCACAATGCAGATACCTACCTACCCACCTAGACACAAAACAAAAGTCTTCTCTCCTACACTCCGTACTCATAAAAGCACTGTGCAATGACCACGTAAAGAGAACTAAACCGACGCGAAAAAAAAAAAAACAAGAGAGAAATCGTTCTTGAAAATGAGGGTATCGTGAGATTTGTTACCCAGTAGATCTTCTGACGTGGTTTTCATTCTTATCCTTCCAGCGTAGAGAGACGTTGGAACTTGGAACAGAAAATGTGTCAAGGAACCTAGTCTTTCGTAGATCTAGATCTTCTGATTAGATTGCATCTAACTCATTCTATCTCTCGGTTGGATGAACAAGACAAGCTCGTGATTGGTATAACACGTGATAATCAAAATCAATCACACATAGTTACAATGTACTCGTACATGAAAGTCACATACGCCTAACGATCTACAGTGCAATTTGATGCAATTGATTTTGATCATCTGGGTTGATTATTGATATTCTTCGTATTGCTCTTTTGGTCTGGTTGCACTGTTTCCATCACCTGTTCCAATGCTTCCGACAACTATTAGCAGCCTAGGAGATCATCCATTGGGTACTTGATTATGGATGGAGTGGTTATGCCCTCTCGCATAAACCATCTCAACATTCAATAAACAAGAGACATTCTTCCAAGACCTCGCTAAACAACGACATAAATTTCCCCAACGCCCTAAAATATTTTCGTGTCTACTGCTTAAACTAAGGTCTATTATGCAGCTGCGACCTTGGGAGAATATTTCGTAGCAGCCTTGTCAAATAGGGAGCTCTTCTCCTCCAAATCCTTCAAGAATGCGTGTTCTGGTGATACACTTCCTAACGAACTAAATGAGAAATGTTAGCAAAAGTAACATTGAAATGTGGTTCAAACTCAAGCTGAAGCTTGAATTGTTGTTCCAATGATTCTGAGAGATAGCATTCAAGAAAAGTATAGCATAAATCTAATGTTCAATCTCTATGATTGATTCGGAACGAAAGCAGCGCTTGTAAGGAGAATACACATACCTTAACAAATCACTGGTATCCTTTCCTGAGATGGTGTTCAAAACGACTTTGTTTGCGAGAGCTTCAGCATTCCGAGGGTCTTTGCTGAAAGCTTGTTCTAATGCTGCTTCTGCTTCCTCCAATCTTCCTAGATGTATTTCTGCGATTGCTTGTGCGACAAGACTTTGTGTGGAGGATGTTGATGGAGCTTGTGCGAGTTCTTCGAAGACATAGAATGCTTGCTGGTATTTCTCCCCGCCCTTAAGTGTTGTTAGTAAAAGATACTTTTTGTACTGGACTCGAGAAAACCTACAACTCTAAGACCCACCCAGGATTCTGCTAAGTTAACTAATAGACTATCTTGAGCCCATCTCCTAGCTTGTTGAACTTCCTTGATAGCTAAATCGGTACGGTTTTGCTCCAGATGGATTTGAACAATGAGAGCCACAGCCTCAACTAATTCCCATGATTAGCCCCCATCTGCGACTACAAAGTGACCCTCAAGTGTATAATACTCACGGTTACCCTGGTGCAGTCCCAACAACTGCAAAGCTTCTTCGCTCTTTCCCGCAGCTTGTAGAACTGTTCCGCCCAATACCTGCACTGTCGCATTGTCGCTCGAGTCCTCCGCCAATTTCGAAATCATCTGCACGCCCCTATCTTCATCTTCGCTCACAAACACGGCTAGAGCTCCAACAGCTTTTAATTCAACCGCATCTTCTCCTTGTACGTCTGTGAGCACATATTCAGCTTGTCCGAGTGCAATTTGAGCTCTGAGTGATATAACTCGCGCCGGGAGTGCATTCTCTGGGGAAAGGGCACTGGTATCGAAATCAATGGCTTCCTGATATTGACCTTGGTGAAAAAAATTGTGCAAGTTGAGAAGCTCGCCTTCTGCTGAGAATGGATCCATATTGTATGATTGTGGTTTGAATGTTCAATGTTGAAGAATATATGCGGTGCGCTCGAACAATACGTGTTGAATTGATCGAGGATGTCGGAACTTGCCGAGACCCTGTGAAGCTAAAATTTCTGGGGTCGTACCGCTAATTTGTTTGCTCCTTGCCATGCACTAAATCTCGCATCGTCACGTCGTCCATATATGTGCGTAACTAATTTCAAAGAACGAAGTCCTCGGGCTTTTGATTTCACATGATCCACCAATTCTTTGTTTATGGAATCTTTGAAAACTGCCTTTGATTTGCTCTCGTTAATATCGTCGTCTTCTTCATTAGTTTGAAGCTCCAGTCTAACGTTGTCCCAAAATGCTCTGATTTGAAGTTCTTTGCGATAGGTATCAAAAGTCGTTTGTATACCAGGTCGGGGACGTTTACTTGGTGCTCTTCTTAGTACTTCTTCCTGCAATCTCATAAGAAGTTCGTTTCCCTATATCGATAATGCAGATGTTAGTCGGATCAGTCCAAAAGGGTTATTCTTCACAATGAAACCGGGAATCAATATACCCACCAGTTTTTCGTCAATGTTATTATCGCCATCTAAGCACCTCATCAGTGGTCCAGTTAGGAAGAAGTTTCGATAGTTCTGCAGTAACTGGTCGTAGGTATATATTTGATGAGGTACGGCGTGTTGCTGAATATCCTCTTCACTTAGACGTTTCGAAGGAGCCGCTTGAGTTTTTTGCCTTTTCTCTTTACTTCGTGCTGCATTATTTCTCTTTACTGCCATGAACTTTAACAGCTGGAAGTCGGTAATGATTGGATGCGGCCCATCCTTGATCCCTCTGCGTTTGCAAAGCTCAAAGCTGTATACGTTATACTTGGTCGACATCTCTTGTTCACAGAATACCAAACGACAGATTGAATTGATTACGAGAATCTGTTATTTCACTTTTATTTCTGGCTTCACATTGATGACTGGCACCAAGTTCGATTCACATTTTGAGCCCTAGCATTATAAAGAGGTGATTCACATACGAATCATCGCAAGATAATTCTGCAACGCGTGCACAAATTATCAGTATATCTACTTCAATCTATTTCCGATCGGTTCCATGTCCTAAAAATCATACTGGAAGTATAACAAATTTTATATTCCCGACCACGACTGTTCAGTATCTCATCTTCTTTCTTGTCTAAGGCGATCTAGCAAGATGGTAAACCCACTTCTCCCGGAGATGACAGACCTACCTGCTGGTTGGGTTGGTCAATTTGATAATAATGATCGAGTTTTCTTCCGTGGTCCTAATGGTTATCTGACTTACGATCACCCAATGAAAGGTGCAATTCCAAAGCCTTGGCAACTCAAGGTTGATAGGTCTGTCCCAAATCCTCGTGAGTATTATTACAACACGCAGACGAGGGAAAAATCGCATAACAATCCGCGTTACAAGGAAGAACTCATGAATTCAAGCCTTCTCGGTATCTCTAGACTAGTTCGAGAATCAGCAACTATGACGGTAAATACCGAGGGAACTGTCGAAAAATCACGACGCCAAGCTATTGGGAACAAGAACATACGACATTTGTATACAATCGTCAAAACACTCGACGCCGGGAATGGCGCTATAGGCGGAATGAATGGCGGAGTTCATGTTGTTCGACTCAAGGGTACGGGTAAGCTCTATGTCGAGAAGCGATTCAAGAAAGATGACCTGCAACCCCTGAGAGATGGAACGCCCGGAATGGGCGTAGTCGAGATTGGGATAACTCATAGGGTGATGCATGGTGGTCTCGCAGGATATATCAATGGTTTCATAGAACCAAATGACATGCATCCAGCTAGCGCATCATTGTTTCTTGAATTTTGCGACTTAGGATCTTTGGATGATCTCATTAATTGTCACGCCCAACGCGTGGGTACAAGAGAAGCGGTCGATGTACCTGAACGCTTTGTTTGGCACGCTATTGTTGGACTTTGTGATGCTCTTTCCTACCTTTGGGGCGGGAAATCATTCATTACCAATCCAAACCACACAGGAACTGGGCCTGCAAAGGGCTGGAAACCAATCCTACATCGCGATATGAAGCCTGATAATATTCTCATACGCTCGAGAGCGACGAACGGAGCTACGAAGTATCCTTTTCTGGTCATAAGTGACTTTGGTTTGGCCACTGATAATCACAAGCAGGGATCTGGAGCTTGCGGGACAAGACACTTCTGGGCACCTGAACTTCTCTGGGATCCTCCGGCAACAAACAATTTGCATCTTATTAGCTTTCCTCCGAACCAATATCATACTCACGAGAGCGATCTTTATGCACTCGGGGTTTGTATATACAATCTTTGCAGACCTACAAATGCTATTGTGCGTGGACAACGGTGGCTCGGAGCACTCTCACATTTCAAACTCGAATCATATCCGAGAGACCGCGATGAAATTGATCTATGGCTTTCGTCTCGAAGAAGTCGTAAATCCGACTTAGACGTCGGTTTATCTTACTCGCCTTACCTTAGAAACGTTGTCAAGAAAATGACTGGTTGGAACGTTAGTCAAAGAGGCGCTGCTCATCAATTCGAACACATACTCATTCCCACTGTGAAGAAATGTGGTTATTATGACGAAGACTTCAGCCCTAGTGAGGCGCTTCCAGCTTGGGCCATTAAAAAGCATGACTACCATTCTAGATGACCTACATCAGCCTTCTCGAGAATAGCAATGGAATGGAAAGTATCGGATGCCAGGCTTTTAAGCAACTTTGAACTTTGACGCATGGGTTTTGGAGGTGATCTGATTGGTTGGGCAAGAAGGCCGTGATATGCCGGTACGTGAAGAACTACATTCTTTTCTTCTCGGGTTTGAGCATCAAGATTTGCGATAACAGAAGTGTGAATACGGTACAATGGAGCTTCTGAGTCTTTAAACTCTGGATGTTCCTACTTGGCCAAACTTAAGTAAACACTACTTCACTATCGTAAACATTCCCAATATTTAGTACGACAATTGAATTTTGGACTGGAAAATGGCAGAGAACGAATCACTAATGAATACAAAGATACTGCTCTTGGAGGAATTGGTACTGCGAAGAGGTTATCGAAATTTGATAGACAGATGGATAGCATCATAATAATATTTCCGTTTCCTTTCTGACATTGAAAATTCCCAGTAAACTTGATGTTAGTGATTGGCTGTCAGATGGTTTAATTGATAGGGTGAAAATGCATTCACAATCCGAGCTACCCAACCCCCTCAAAATCATTTGTAGAGGGATAGGATCTCAAGTACTAACAAAGAAGGATAGGTGATGCTCATAAATTCTAAAACTGTTCGCAAGTTGACAAGAAGAAGAAAAAAACACATTCAAAATACAATTAGAGTTAAAAATACATATGTAAGACATAGATATTCATTGCATATCACGTGCATACTCATACTGTGCTCTTACCTTGCCACTTCTCGAACTAAGGTTCTCTAGTGCTCGGCTAAATTAAAGACTTCAGCCTCGAAAAGAGCCTCGTCAGGCTACGAAGCCTTACACAATAACTTCCCCCATCAAACTTTACTCAACATCCTCAATCAATCATCTTGTTCTTGAGATAATCGAAAAGAACTTTGCTTCTTGTCTATCGCCCTTTCTCAAATCTTTGACACCATTTAGTATCGCATTGTGCGACAAGGAGATGGAGCCTTCCAACAAGAAACGACGTCTTGCACCCAAAGTTCCAGAGCAATCTACCCAAGAACAGGTAAGCTATTCATCGCATTGAATCTGGTATATCCTGCTAACGTGTGGGTCAGTCCCCTCAAGCCAGGTACGATTATAAGGCTATGCCGAACCTACAAGAGCCCGCACCTTCGAATGAGCGAAGCGATTTCGAGTCTTTCGCCCGTCATTTACAAGATGCAGCAATGCTTATCTATGCGCAAGCAAATCGATCTCCATACAAGGGTGTTACAGTCCTTCTGTTGCGCTGGGAAGAAGATTTGAGTGTTGAGCAAGATCTTTTGCTCTTGCAGAAGGTTTTCCAAGAACGCTTTAATTTTCATACCGAGTCTTGGAATATCCCTAGTGGTCCAAATCCTAACATTAAACTTGTGAAGCAACTTGCACATCATATTGAATCAACTGCGCCTAATAATCTTTTAATTGTGTATTATGCAGGTTATGGGTTTGTGGGATCGGATCATCAATTATATTGGGCCTGGTAAGATTGGAAGCTTATCGAGCCTTGTGACTTATCGCTGATATGCAATAGCAATTCTCACGAAGATGCTCCAAAATTTAAGTGGGAAGGTATTAAATATTTACTCGAGGATGCGCAGCCTGATGTTTTACTTTTACTTGATTCTTGCGCCACAACAGATTCATCTGTTGCGGGAAGCCAAGGCATCAAGCAAGGTATTGCTGCATATAGTCCAGAACAGGCTACGCGTGAACCAGGAACACGTTCGTTTACTTATCACTTGTCGGAAGCTCTTAATAAACTTGGTACTGGCCGTCCTTTCAGTACGCAAAGACTCCATGAGGAGATCATTTCACAAAAGCACAATGGATTTCTGGCTCACACTGGACTTACAAATGGAGCAGGAAAGGCAGCTTCGGCCAACGAGCGAATGCCAGTATCTTTCTCCTTGACCCCTGGATCATTACAAAGCATTTCGCTATCTCCTCTGAGCCAGGCCCCAAGATCAAGCACTTCGATAGAATCGCCAACGGATTCACCAGAGATCAATGCCTCGGGATCAAGCATTGAGGAACCAATCAAAGCCAACTCAAATTCCGACCTAACTTTTGAAGAAGTCAGAGCATTAGTTTGTACCACTTTTGTTGGAGAGCCAAGCCAAGATATGGCATCTTTCAAACAGTGGCTTCACAACACTCCTTTGGCAGCATCAAAAATCGCAGTCGAAGGGATGTTTCACGGACCACCTACCATTCTCCTTGTTTCTATGCCAATCGCGGTATGGAACGTTTTAGCCGCCGAAGGAATCTGTTTGTTTTTGGGTTATATCAATTCTCACAACATGACAACAGATTATCAGCATTTGATCGGAGCAATTTCCCCTATGAGCAAAGCCGCAACTACCAAGGAATTGGAGGATGGTAAAATATTACTTGAAGCTCGTGAGGCCGCTGCATCCACACCACTAATGACTAGACATGAACCAGTTCAACAAGAGCCAGCTAGACAACCAGAAGTAGTTCATCAAACCCCCTCTCGACAAGAACCTATAAGACAAGACCCAATCAATTCTACTCCTCAATCAATCCCCCAAGTATTGTATCCTGATACTAGTACAGCAAATCTTCCTGAGCATCCAGAAGACGTCGAAACCTCAGTAGAGATGCACGAAGCAGCCGAACAACTTAAGGCTTTGAGTCATGTACGGCACCTAAGTCACGACAATCTGACTCCAAATGATCGAAATCACTCTCACATAAATTCTGAAGATTCTCCAGGTCCCAGAAGTGGTCGAGAAGAATCCGCATCGTCTCAAGACCAAGGTGAATCTGGAGCCGAAGATCAAATGTACAACTCGGAGTTCAATTCACCTGCCTCTAGACCCAAGCCTCGGAGATCGTCACAAAAGCAAGGCCCTAAGCAAGACACCCGATGTTCAATGTGCAGTCATGCACCATTTAAAGATTCATCTTCATTGAGAAAACATATCGCTGCTGCACATACAAGACCGTTCCCGTGTGCTTTCTCCTTTGCCGGATGCGCAAGTACTTTTGGCTCTAAGAATGAGTGGAAACGACATATTGCTTCTCAGCATCTTTGCTTGACATTTTATCGCTGCTCTTCTTGTCCCCAAAGCACTGCCGAGGGCAAAGGTAATGAGTTCAATCGCAAAGATCTATTTACCCAACATCTCCGACGTATGCATGCACCTTTTGCCATTAAGAAAGCTCTTGCTAAAGGAGACTCCAAACTTCAAGTGGAATGGGAAACTCATGTAAAGGAAATGCAAGCCTCGTGTTTGGTAACTAGAAGACAGCCACCTCAAAGATCCGCATGCCCTAAAGCAGATTGCTCAAACGTGTTTGAGGGTGCAGGTAGTTGGGATGACTGGACTGAACATGTTGGTAGGCATATGGAAAAAGGAGAGGCGAACAGATTAGGCGTTGATAAGTTTTTGGCGAGATGGGCACTTGATGAAGCCATTATTGAACCTAAGGGAGATGGATCTAATGAATACAGATTATGTGGTACGGAGAGAGAAGGTGGTGGTGTGTTGACTGGTAATGGCAATGCAAGTGGCTATTATTCAGATGGTGGAAAGAAGGAAATAGAAAGTGCCAAAGATGGAATGGAAAGTCTCATGGGCTTGACGGGTGACAGTATGGTCATTGATGGTTGAGGATTTCACCTTGGGGAATTCTAGGCAGGATATGGAAATTCTTGAGACAAAAAGGAAACAAAAGAGTAATTTTTAAATTACATGTTATAGGGTGGCTTTCTGTGTTGTCTTTGTCTGGTATCAGATCAAACTTTGGGGTGGCTGCTTTGTTTGGTTAGCACTGAATTGTCCTGGCTCTAAAGTTCCCTCTCTTTTACCACTCATCGGTTCATGTCACTATACTTGGTGAATGGCGGTATTGCTCTTTTTCTCTAATGCATGGATGGATGCACAGGTGCATGGATGGATGAATGGTTTTTTGAGGGAACAATGTCTTGAGGGTATTTTCTTGTTTGGGATGTAGGCAAGCAAGGGCGAATGTATGGTTGGGATGGCCTGGGTGGAGTTATTTACTAGGAATATGAAATGAAAAATGCTTTTTTTCTCTTCAGATTTTGGAGTGGAGGCTTTTGTGCTTTTATTGTACGTGGATAAGAGTTGACAGCTTGTGAAGGTGGTGAAGACTATAGTAACAACGATAATTTGTAGCATTTAAGTCGTTTGTTCTTGATTCGTATTTGATGCTTCCTCGGTATTTTGACATGTTCGTGTCACCACCTTCTTTCCTTCTGGGGCCTGAGTAATACTTGGTTTCTATTCATCTTCTTTAACCATTGTATAACTACCGATATCCTTCTCTTTTGTTTTCAAGTTGCCAACGCGTTCATCACTCAGCCTTCACGTATACGAATAATTAATCTTAACTCTGTTAGTGCCAAATGCACTTCGCATTTTGTATTTTAAGAAAATGAACCTACTACTCGATAACCACCAGGGTTAGTAGTATCAAGGTCGTTTTATTATCTCAAATTGTGCTGTTACCAATATCCCGCTTCATTGGTCACTGTTGGTATCAACCAAGTTGATAAGTATGAAGTACTCTATTCTATTATGGCTGTAATTGTTCTTGATCATTAAAATTATGAGAAGTTAGTACTATATAAAGAAGCGCTAGCCCTTCGCTAGCTAATACAATGCCCTTCTACGATCACATTATCGATATCCCGACAGGTACATTTCGGATTATGCTTTAATAGTATCATATGCACTACCACTTCTGATCTTCTTTCCCCAAACCCATAATACCCATGGGACAGGCAGCATACCTACAACAATAAAAGCCAACAAACTCGTTGCCCATGCAATTCCCAGGGGTTTATACATCTGCAGTGTGAATAATGGGAATGCTGCACCCGAAATATATCTCAGAAGCCCATTTGCTGCGAGTGCTGATGCTCCATTTAATGCTTGATAGGTATCGATTAGGTAGTTTGCTGATGCTTCATCCTCACATATTAGTTTCCGGCGAAGGGAGAGAACGTATGACAAAAACTTACCAATAAATACCGACAAATTTCCCCACCCAAAAGGCACCGCTCCAATTACAGGCACTATCCAATGAACACCATCCCTCGCACTCCATGCAAACCAAAACAATCCGATCGGTAGCCCAAAACTTCCTAGCATTGCAGGATATAAACGATACTCTGGGGCTACAATCCCTGCTCTCCCTTCTTCGTGGGATTTTTTGACGACAGGCTGATACAAGAATGTATCACAGAGAAGAACTGTGATGATCGCCAGAACACATCCGACTCCAATCGCTAAGAAAACTAGTCCATTCTGTTCGGTATCGAAACCATATACCGTCCTGAACACGTACGGAAACGCGGCGAAGAAGTTAAAAAGGACGGAGAAATTGAATGCGACGTAGAGACTTAGGAAGGCGACGATGGGCTCGGTACAGAGCATGTGGATGGGACGGAAAAGGGTAACTGTTAGGAGGAACTTTATCTTTGCTGCGTTTGAGGGGAATGGGGAAGCTGGGATAGGTTGATTGAGAGATTTGGCGCGACGGATGAGGATGCGTGAGTGCAGGGTTTCGGAGGTGAAGAGGAGAGGGAGGAAAGAAAAGATGGAGAAGAAGATTGAGGTCCATTGGGTCCAGCGCCAGGATTTGCGGACGGTGACGAAAGAACCTATGACGGGTCTACATGAAGAGTGTTAATGATATTCTCTTACTCTATAGATCAAGACAAAAACAAAATCATACACTCACCCCAAAGCTGGTCCCAAAAAGGGACTCATAACATACCATGCACTAGGACTCGCTCGCTTTTCCGCAGTAAAACAATCCGCAATACTGCCTGCTCCGATTGCCAACGCGGGACTGAACGCCATACCGGCGAAGAAACGCAGGATACAAAGACTTGCGATGTTTTGGGAGAAACCGCAGCCGAGAGTGAAGATGCAGCCGAAGGGCACTGAGAGTAGATAGACGGGTTTGCGACCGAGAGATTCGGAGAGGGGGGCTGCGAGGAGGGGGCCTAGGGCGAGAGCTAAGACGTAGGTGGAGAGGGGAAGGATGGAGACGGTCGGGCTGGTGTGGAAGGCGAGGGAGATGAAGGGGATGGCGGGGGATACGAGGGAGGAGCCGAGGGTTCTGGAGGTGGGTTAGTTGATGAGTGGTGGGGTTGGGAGAGTTGATGATTTGAACGGGAGTCAAAAGGAAACTATTTTCTTCTTTGGATATCTCGATTACTTTTCGAGTGTTTTCCAATTGAAGATATTCAAATTTCAAAATAGATTGGATGTCCAACATTACAATTGCTTGTTGCAAGACTTCATTCCAGGATATCAAAAGATACGAACGAAGACGAAACTCAAAAGAAAATACATACGCAGAGAAAGAGATCAAAGCTGGAGTAAAAACATGCCAATTCTTCTTCCACCTAGGCCAATTGAGAGGATTATCTGGATCATCCGGAGCATTCCACTGTAATGGCGGTACTACGATTCTCTGATCCTGACTCTCTAGATCTTTTCCTGCGATGTCATCAACAGGTGGTGACTTTGGCGTCACATTGAGATTATCCGAGGAACTCGATTCTCGGGATATTTTTTCGGGGTCTGTCATGTTTTCGTTTGGGTCTGATGGTGTGTGTCGTAATGATGTGTGCATCGATATTAGGCAGGTTTGGATATGGTGGAGTTCAACAAGGACAATGCGTCAGATGAAGCTTTGTGATATCTAAAGATGTGTTAATCGAGCTTGATTCTGTGGAGTAAAACAGACGATAGGTCAATAGATAGTGCACATGGTACTCAACATGGAATATAAGAACCTACATGATCAAGAAGCACGTTTACATGCTTAACAATCGAATCTCAATGATCAATAATCACATCTTGGGATCCTTCGATATATCTTCATTATTTCTCATCAACCTCGGATATTCATATTCTTCTGTCTAGCATCATATAAGTAGTCACTGCTAATTTCCTTCAAGCTAGCTAAATTCGCAGTTAGATTTCTCACTATAAACGTCTAAGACCGAGGGGTTTACGTTTTACCTTATCATTTAATTCAGAAGTAATACACCTCGAAGCATATTCTAATGCTCAACTCCGCAGTCTCGGATGGAAGATAAATCTTTCGTGCGTAGCGATGGATTAGTGATTGTGAAATGTGTGCCGAAGCGAGTGTTTCTCCTGATTAGTGATCGAGCTCGGCAAAAAACGTCTACGGACGTAAACATTTGAGAAAGTTTAAAAGGAGAGGAACAGTATTGATTAGATGGTTTTTATATGAGCAGTTGGATTTAATCGACTATTCATCTCGTATTGCCTGAAGCGTGATTGGATATTTCTTGATTATTTATTGATAAGTGTTTGATGTTTTGGTGTTGTTGGGTTCATTACTTGTTGAGATATCGTTACTAAGGCGGGTTTCAGTCAAACAAGAATTTTGATAGTCCTGTAATGAATCAAGTTGGGATGTATGAGATCAGCAGTAGGTGTCCAATAACCTCAGATTCGAAAATGAATTGACAGTGAAATGGTTCTGTCGTTTTAAAACCTTGCGGCGAAGAAGAAATGCATAGTGACTTGAGGGTCTCGAACGAAATACGCAACAGTGAACGGTTATATGTGATCAAAAAGTCTTCATATTTTTGGGTATATCGCAGAATTAAAAATCTACCGAGATCTATTTCATATATTGTTGGCTAGTGCATTTTGTCGACTTGCCAGACATCAAAATCATTTCATAAATCGAACTGTGTTCCATACCCAAATGGGTAACATGACATCTGGATATCTTAATCAAACCAACAAACTCCATTTTAAAGTAAGAAATCTACATCCAGAAATCCCACTGTCTTTTCCACCAAGGCCAAGCTGCCTTGACTCTTCTCTCTTCATCCAATTCCTCTCTGAACGCTACAAAATCCATTTCACGTCTGCCCTCATCAACATTGATCTGATCAAGCTTTACACCAAAAGACCATTGTCTGTAGAACACTTTATATCCAACGAAGAAGATGATAACAATTGGAGCAGCGAGGTAGGCTTCAAAGAAAGCTTCTACCTCTGGTTTTCCACCAATGGGGAAAAGTGCGACGTAGAATTGGGCGATAAGACATAGGATAACAAGGCCAAGGCCAATCCATGATCCGATTGTTCCAAACATAGCTGCGAATGGGAGATCGTCCTTTGTGCGACCATTCATGGCCCATACCTTACGGAAACGAATGTGAGCATAGCAGATAGAGCCCCAGGTGAAGAAATTGGAAAGACCAGCGATAGAAAGGAGCCATGTGAAGATATTAGAGCCTTGAGGAGCGAGATTCACATAGGCGAGTAAACCGACAAAGAGAGCAAAGGCAATGGCAACTAATGGACGACCATGTTCATCGACCTTTGCACCCCAGGATGGACCCATACCTTTGGCACAGAGAGCTTGTATGGTACGGGTAGAGGCGAAAGTGCAGGAGTTGGCGACCGAGATAACAGAGAGGGTGATGACGGCATTGAAGATGGAGGGGAGTACTTTGATTCCTGCCAACCGGAAGGCAATGACAAAGGGAGAATAGGATGTGTGTCCACCAGAGGCTTTTGAGAGAATACTGTTGTCGGATGGGACGATAAGACCGAGGAGAAAGAGTGAAATGATGTAGAAGAGGGAGATACGCCAGAAAACTTGCTTGGTAGCTTTAGGAATCGATTTTCGTGGGTTATCAGCTTCTGCGGCGGCTAAACCGACAAGTTCGGTTCCACCAAATGCGAAGGAGGCAGTAACAAAGACCGAACAGAATCCCTTGAAGCCATTGCGGAAAGCACCAGGGGTTCCCCAGTATTTAGCGCCAATGTAGCCACGGTTATCGGTTGGGACACCACCACAGTCGATGATTATACCGAGAATGATAAAGCCAATAATAGTAATCACCTTGATCAAACCGAGAACAAATTCCACTTCTCCGTATCCTTTGACACCGAAGAGGTTGATAATGGTAACCATTACAAGGAAAATTGTAATCCAAACTCCAACATTCACTGACGGATGGCCAGAAGAATCCGGGTCGGTCCAAAATCCAATTGTAATACCTGCAGCTGTTAATTCGAAGGGGAGAACGATGAGCCAATTCATAGCATAGTTCCATCCCATTGCGAATCCCCAACCTGGATCAATAAATCTAACGGAGTAATTATAGAAGGAACCTTCAACAGGATAAATAGCTGTGCAGATGATGTTAGCTTGAGCCACTTTCAAAATTATAGGAAAAGAGATGAAAAAATAGGAACGTGGTAGTCTTACCAGCAAGTTCTCCCAAAGCATTAACAGTAAGCAACAACATAATACCGATGATGATGAAATCGATAACCACCGCGGCTGGACCACCAGAGTGAAGAGCAGAACCTGAACCAACGAACAAACCAGCTCCGATAGAACCACCGATTGCGATCATTTGCATATGTCTGCCCTTTAATTGTCTCTTCAATTGTCCAGACTGACCAACCTCGATGTCGCTATTAGTAGGTGATGATGGCGACACATCATTCGTGTATTTCTCTTTATCGTCGAAAGCCATCTTTATCTCTTAGAGGAATTCCTACTACCTTTTTGAAATTTGGATTGCTCCAGATAAGAGAGAGAAAGGAAGAGGGGTTGAATTCGGTTCACTCTCAACGAGTATGATATCGAAATACGAAGTTGTGATCGCAAGCCCCGAGTGAATGAAAGGACAAGACGTTTAAGTAATGATACAGGAAATCCGGAGTTACATCGCGTAACATCGACTATTTATACACGAAGCTTTCTACCCTGAGCATCTATCGTCGCACCTACCGCTCTGGTATTATACCGGTATGCCACCAATGGCGATCTAGGCTTTGGCGTATGCATGTCTGCACACATGCATCACGTATCGGCGCCTCTTGCTTCGTAAATGATACGGGTAATCCAAATCGAACCAAGGCTAGGGATATTTGCCTCCCTTGTAAATGAACGACCCTTTTCCCGCAACTGACTGGAAGAAGGAAGCTAACGGTTGTGGTGAAATGGTAAAGCTTACCCTACTACGCATACAAATCTCATGGTGACACCTGTCCCACGGGAACCCCGACTCCCAAACTTTAGCCAGAGAAAACTAAACCCTATGTATCGCGTTTATCAATGGGTAATCCCAGCTCTGCGTGGAACAGTATCCAATAGAATGATATTGGCATGTTTTGGGACGATAACATAGAGATAACAGATAGGATTGGAATATGGAGTTGTACTTACACCAATCTCATTGCAAATTTGCGTCGTCAAATGTTGCGAGAGAAATTCAAATAGGATGACCTAGGTTAGGTTCGAACTAGTGAAAGATAGGCATAACGTGCTCGGAGGTGAGCCCCGATTCAGATCGTGGCTTTAGAAGTACTAAGCTTCTTTTACGATAGTACGCCAAATTTCGTAGTATGATTGGTTTAACTTACCACTATTAAGCTTGGCTTCCAGCTCCGCAGACAATGTAAGGATCACACTGGGGGGCGTAGATAAGAGAGAGTATTCTGAGGGTCCCTTTTCACGTGGTCTAGATCCTTGACCACCACACAATCGACAGTCAAGGCATCTTCTTTGAACTGCGACGCCATTCACGCTGATGGCTTCACTAGTTCGCCTCTAAGATTCCTTCTAGAATAATTCTTAACCTGCACATTAACCTTGTTTTAACTTCTATCGGACTGAGGCAGTGGGCGAAAGTTTTAGATCTGGGAATTTGAGAGCATGAAAATTGACGAGATTGAGGCTCGTCTCGGGCAAAGCGAGGGGTTAGCAAAACGAATGCTTATCTAAGTTATCTTTCTTGATATTCATATTGAGTTTCGCATTTATGTTGATCTATTATAAAGAAATTTTCCCTATCTAATTGTACACAGACATTTACAGCTTAAAAATAATATAAATCGCTCTTGAGATAACAATGTGGATTCATGGAGAAGTGTCAGGGCTAAACCCACGCTTTCACCTATAACTCTCAGCACAAATACTGTGTAATAAGCCGCCGTTATCCATCGACTATCCCTACTCATCAGCAGTCAGCATTATAATCCTCGCAAAGTTGAACCAATTTAATCCCTCAAACGGTCGTTAACCATGGAGTCTCCGAGCTGGCGGGGTCTAGTGCAGCGCGCTGTTCACTCCGCATTTGTGCCCATCCACTTCCATCCACTGTAACTGTCACTATCAAGAACATCGCTCAGGCTTCAGCGTGGCAACGTCCTAGATTACAGAATTTTGAATTTCCAACTAACCTCCGCCTAGCTTCTACTTCTCCGAGGATCCATGCATCCCCCGAAACCTTATTTACTTCAGGGACATTAAATTCTAGACCGCGATTTACCGACTCGCATGAAGGCCTATCTCGAGCCTATCTACGGGGCATTGCGGATACACTATTCGTAAATATCGCTTGACTTGAGAACGCGCTGGACTTTAAAGATCTATTTTACACTCACTGATCACGCTTCTTACAATTACAATTACAATTACAATGTTACAATGTTCAATGTATAACCTGATGTTGTTACGAGTTTGAATGAGGCTATTGATTGATAGTGTGATTTCAAAATGGATATTTTCCGTGTGTAGACGATTTGACAATGATCTAGTACGTAATGATTTCTTCCCCGCCTTTCTACCGGGAGATTGGAAGTACCAATGTTGGGGAAAGAAGCAATCAGTAAAATACTAGACAGTGAGGATAGGATTTTCAAAGCAAGATGATTATGATTGATTAGACTTTGCAGGGTTAGCATGCTCACACAACGAATCCGGAATCTTTAGTTCGGACTTTAATTCAGAACTTCACATCCTATCATAAAACTTTTTGATTTAAAAGATGAGAACTCAATTATCCACCATTCCAAAGAGAGCGGAAAAAATTAACCTAAAAATCTTCCTCCGATTGTATGTTGGTTAGTGGGCCATAAGTAAACCTAATTTCACGCCCGAGTAGGGATGCAACAGCGGATTGCCCAGCACTAGACACATTGCCATAATTGCTCATGAATGATGTCGACATAGCGGTATCATCGCCATCTTTCATGAGTGGCCGTATGACATCTCTCGTTACGAAAGATCCCTTGTCAAGATAGAAAGGCTGGCTACCAACTTGAGCAGGACCGGAACGTCCTAGCGGGGCAGTCGAGAAATTATCGTTGCCATTATTGGTTGCCAATTTCGAAGACCCCCCTTGAGATTGCTCGTTTTCATCCTGAGGATCAGGGGCGATAAGAGGTACTAATCCTCGTGATGTTGCTTGTCCAGGGATTAGCCCTCGAGCAGAAGCTCGCAATCCGCTCTTCACAGCTGTTATACTTTTACTGGCAACCCCGCCCGCCGCTGCTTTGGTGATATTGTACGAGCCTGCCCGACCTACTGTCTTTTTAAGAGCTGTTGGCAAGGCCTTGGAGGCTTTAAATCCGTGCTTGAGAATATTGCCACCAATCTCGCCACCTATTCCACCCAACAGCCCACCAAGAGCATCCAAACCAACACTTCTCCAAGTTATTTTTTCTCCATTTGCGACACTTCCAATCATACCAGAAGCTACATCGGAAACAACGCCTGCAGCGATACCAACGCCAACCTGTATAGCCAAGCTTGCACCACCAGTTAAAATTCCAACACCTACACTAACGGCGATCCCAATTACCACCATGATGAGATCTTTCCACGTAAAATTCATGCCGAAGAGACTGAAATGACCACTTGGATCAACTCGATTGATGGGATCTCCTAAACAGTATACATAAGGATTGGTTTCTCCGGATGCAAATGGAGCCCAAGGATCAGGTGTATGGAATCTTCTAAGCTGGGGATTGTAAACTCGATACCCATTGCCTAGATGGTACCATCCTGTAACCGGATCTCGCCATTGTCCATTGAAGCTAATAGAGGAAAAGGAAGACCCAGCTCCCGAGCCAGAACATCCATACGGCGTGTACTGCTGGGTTTGAATCTGGTTAGGGTTTTGAGAATCCAATGTTGTGAGAACAGATTGTTGACAATTAGAAGCCCATAGATGGGTTTCGATGCTTCCGCCTTGCAGAGAAATTATTTCTCCCCAATACTCCGATCCATTCGACAAATAGCTAACCGAACGATCTCCTTTTTGTACAGCTATAAGCGATCCCCTATAAAAGAATTTTGTGTCTGGCTGGTTGGGTATTCTCTGACACGCGAGGTTTCCCGCTGCATCATACAGGTATTGCGCAAGAACATTGTTGTTATCTCGCACATCGGTCAAGCGGCTCATGTTATCATATTGGAGTCTTCGGCCTTGCTCATCGCGTGTCAAGCATCCATTATAATCATATTCGAGAACCGCTTTAGATGGATAATTCGGATGTGTGTTGGTGATCTGAATGAGTTGAGTAGGATCTTGTGTGCTGAAAGAGCTAACAGAAGTGTTTGAGCTGCCGTCTTGAAATACTGTGGAAGTCTGTACAATATTATCGTAGTTATCGAAGACGAACCGTTGCGATCTAAGAAAATTTCCATATTGATCTGCAGGAGGCTCGCTTCCCTGGCATTGATAATTGACAAGACGGTTATGGACATCATATTCGAAACTTTCGCTTCGCATCACGCCACTGCTTTTCTCCTGGAGGCGCGAAGCTACAAGACCAATTCCATTGTATGTTTGGCTGAGATGATATATCAATGTTGATTCTCCACTGTATACAGATCGTTTTATTTCCCTACCGAAATCATCGTATGCTAGTTTGGTAGTTATTTTTGTATTCTTTCCTTCGTCCTGAACACGGCTTTCGGTTACACGACTAGCGCTGTCGTAGACAAATGATACTTTTAATCTGCCTTGTACCACCTGTTGAGGTCTTCCAAACGCATCATAATGAGTTTCCTGCAATTTCCCGTTCGCATCGGTATACTTTTGCAACTTTCCGGCCATTGAATAAGTATAAAGAGCAGAGAATGTCTGGCCTCCAGTGATAGATATAGTTTCTCGGGAAAGTAACCCAGAAGTCAAATATTGTAGATCATGAGTCGAATAAGCACCTTTAAATTGCAACGGAGCAGCAGTTCCAGCGTCATACTTATAGGTATCTGTGTGATTGCTACTGGATATTTGCGTAAGTGCGCCATCCAAAGCTGACTGGTAGGTTAAGTTGTGTTGCTCTCCCTTTGCGTTGGTTATTTGTGTAGGATCGGGCGAAGTTCCTTGGTAGCTTTGGCTAGTAGTTCGTGTACCGACAACTTTCCTTGTAATACGACCTAATCCATCGAAGGATTGCTCGCCCACTGTTCGGTCATTAAGCTTCACTGTAGTCGGCAATAAAGCAGTGGTTTGACTCGCATACTGTGTCTTTATAACGCGAGTACCAGGCCAGGTAGTCTCAACTACCCGGTCAAAGGAATCGGGTTTGTATTCGGTTACACGACCAAGATTATCCTGCTGCCTGAGAAGACGATTTAAGCCATCATAGGTGTAGTCCATCTTGCTGTAGAGGGTGTTGTTCTTGTGGTAAAGTGCTATTTGTGTGGGTGCGCCAAAAAGGTTCAACTTGGTCTTAGTCATACCCTCGCCCTCAACACCTTCCACTTTTGTGTTGGTGATTGGATCTGTATTGGTCAATGTACGCAAGCCAGAGTTTTCTGATACTCTATGAATCTTGCCCCAATCATCATATTCCATCGATTTGATGCTTTTTTGCTCAGATGGTGACTCTAATTTCTCGGTTCTCAGCCAATCAATATCAGATATCATAATGAGCTGATCCTGGGCGTTATAGCTATTTTCCTGGATCACCCGAAATACTTGACCATCCTGTTTCTCAACCCGCCAAAGCCTTTCCAAACCATCTGTGATGTAGCGAGTTTGTACACCCTTTGTGTCAATCACTGTTCTGCGGGATCCGCTGTTGACTCCAAGAAAAATGTACTCCTGACGTTCAGCGGATTCATAGGGGGTACCTTGAGAGTGGACCGTCTTGGAAGCGCGACCGAGACTGTCATAATAGTAATGAGTGTAAATACCAGTTTGATTATTATGTGTCGCTGGAAGTCCAGACCACAGTGAATAGCCCGTTTCCTCCACTACTGTAGAAGCATCAAAAGCTGTAGTAGCCATCGTCTGTACGAACTGGCTACCACTGGGATATGTGTAGGTCCAATTATGTGTCGTTGGATATTGATCAAAGAGCCGCGTCACCTGTCTCTGAAGGCGGGTATGATCTCTTGCAGTAGCATTGTTCACGTAAGTGTAATCGAACTTGGTAAGAAGCTTATTTCCTTCCAAATTTTGCTTCTGCTGCACGATAACAAGATAACTCGTCTTTGCGCCGGTTGCCGTGGGCATTTGGGCATATGTATAATTCTCACTGCGAATTGGCCCCGCAGCATTCGCTGGCGTTACCGTCTCGCGTTTCAAGTATCTTTGGAAGTCATGGGGATCACGTGGACAATAAATGCCCTCACCAGCTGCTGGATAGTAACTGCGATCAATTCGGATACCAGTTGGTTTGATGTCTTGTGTAGGATTTCCCCACTCGTCAAAGACATGATGGCTCGTTTCTGTGCGAATTGCCTGACTCGCTGTATCCTTGTAGATAGTTTCGACAGTTTTGGGTAATTGATATTGTGCAGGTTGGTTTTCAAATGACGCAAATGGGATCGCATGGTATGTGATCTTCTGGGTGACCTGTTTGATGCCTTTCTGTTGTTCAGAAGTGATGAGAAGATGAAACTTATTATAAGTGTTCTTCGTTACCATCCCACCTTGAATTTGAACAGTCGACGTGTATTGGTATTCATCGCGGGTAAGAAACAGATTGTCTTCTCCATTTCGCCAGTTTTGGCTACTACCATATGCAAGAAAATTTTGATCGGAATATGTGTAGAAGGTTGTGATTGTAGGTTGTGAGTTGCCTGGACGTGCAATGTGCGATATGGCATAAGGAATTGCCTGGTAAGGGGCCCCTGTTGGCAACCGATGCCCTTGTTCTTTGTAGCTAATCTCTTCCACAAGACCGGACGGACTGGTTACATTGTTCAGATGAACCATTTGACCGAACTTTTGATAGCTAAACTTCCAGGATGCTCCATCCCAAGGCAGACGGATCTCTACCAACTGATTGTTTCTTTGAATGAGAGTGAATGTAGCTGCTTCGGGTGTATTCGGAGCCTTTGTTATTTCCACTTGAGTTGCGCCATACTTGACTTCAAGAAGGATTTCTGAGCCCTGCTGAATCTTGTCGAGGCGAGCAGTCTCGCCAAGTGCAGACCAAACAAATGATAGCGAGCGTCCAGTAGATGCATATAAGTCAACAAGAACAGACTTATTGTATCTATTGTTAAAATTGGACAAATTCTCGATTTGGCCCGACTTATAAGTGATCTGGTATGTATTGGCATCTAACTTCTTCAAACTCGAACTTTTAAGCTTTTGATCGGTGGTATATATTGCGCTGGATGTTTCCGTAACTCGGTAAGACTCGCCTGTTGAGAGGCTAACTACTCGGTTCGACTGACGGTGTTCATAAGAAGGGAGGTTGAATGACCATCCTTGACCCAATCCAATGTCTTGTGTGTTCAAGGGATGGAAGGATAAGGAGAGCTTGAAAGGAGGACAATTTCTGGCTTGAATTGGTGCTTCATATAGATCAACCATACACGTGTATTGGCCGGTACGTGGATCGACGCCTTTCTGCAAAAAGTCGCTAAAATTGAACCCCTGAGAGTAGATAGTAGGACTAGACGACATTTTTATGACGATGAAGTATAGCTTGGAAAAAAGTCGCAATAGTTGTGTTACTAAAGTCAGAATATAGACATAGGTGGACGAACAGTTGGTATTGTAGGATATGTGCTGTCTTCTATTCCTCCTGGCTAAAGATGATCAATCAAACTGCAGAAGAAGTGAAGGATAAAACTATCTCTAAAGCGGCTTAATTCATGAGTTTGACTAATCTCAATAGTCTAGAATGACTCTTGGTAATATAATTCAATCTGATTCTCTCAATTATCTGCAGCCACAGTATCGCGTGGGATTTTAACAGAGAAATTTCATCAATTCTTGCGAAGTCCAGCATAGACCCCGAACAATGCATTGCGTCTGTGTGAAAGAGAACAGAAGTTCGTCAAACCTTGCGAACTCAATGCAGTCGATTCAGCCTTAATACTGAAGTGGGCGTTGATCAAGTTCTGCTAACACTCATCTTTTCAATGCAAGTTTCAGCACACAAATAAATACGTGTTCAATCATAGTAACAGTTAGATATTGAAGTTGTTTCACGATCTCGAAAGTAATCATGGGCGGGGTGTTCTAGGGTAATTTGATGGATAACCGAGACCATCCTGATACACGCCGGTTTAATTCAATATTCTTTATCAAATTGTTGCCCACGGATATGTAGCAAGCTTCTTCTGGAATAATATGACAATGCATAACATACATTCCAAGTGATGAATATAATCTCGTCAAACATGGTAAGAAGGTTACCTTAAACCCCCACTTATTTTATGCAGAGTTCGTATTCGTGTAATTGTGGTCAGCAACCCCTCTTTCAACATTCAGCTCGCCAAGTACGATGTGGACAGTACCAAGTGAGATGAATTGAGTAGTATACATGATCAATTCGTATGATTTACTGTTGTGCAACAGCTTTACTTGTGAAACTACAAAAGTGCGAAGTGGTAATGAGGGGTCGAATGTCCCATACTTGTTCAGAGGCATTGTTTTGGACCAAAGTTATTAATGATCATGCTTCTCCTGAAGCTTCATTGGTGACTTTCGGAGAGAACGGGGGTGTGCAATTGATGTGTACCCACCAAGCGTGCCTTTTGGGATTGGAAACGCGCGGAGAGAAAGTTGAGTGTGGTGGTAGGTGATAGTATATGCATATAACAATTCATCTGCCTAGTAAGAGAGATATAAACGCTTTGATCATTGCACTTTTTACTTAAACTTATCAATTCTAAGCAATCGGGTTTGTCGTCACACAACATACTATTTTCACTAAAGTCGATCACACACACAAGGGATACTGGGAGTCATGTCTGTACAATGGGAAGTAACATTTCTGAGTATACACACCAGTGAGGCCGGCACTTCTCTATTTGCAAATGGCAAGATGCAGGTAGCTGCGAACGTCTTGATCAAGGCAATCAATCCAGTCAACTACAATCCATACATCTTGACAGCAGCAGAGCTAGCGAGAATTGAGTTGGTTGACTATTACAACACTAACGAGAAGCTCGTTGGCCCTTGGACGTATACCACTCTCGAGAATGAATTTTCACACACAATGCCTCCTGGTACCGGGTTTGCTGCCGATGAAGGAGATCTCCCTACACAGCCATTTATGGTAGACCAACATCAACGATATTGGGTCAGCACAACAAGAGCTGAAGTCAAGAACGTTGGAGCACGCATCACCCAACCAAACGGCAAAGTGGTCACAACTCGCAGTGCAGAAAACGACTCATACATTGCTTTCCGGGGCTACCAGGAAATCAGGTATTCTTTATCCAATTCAGAATGGTGGAGAGAAGATACCGCCAGTGGTAGCGGCTGGGACCAGGACAACTATTTCCTCAGAAGCAGGGTTCACTCGTTCATCAGAGCCGACCGCACTGGCTATAGAAATGACAGTTTTGCCGTGGTGGGAATGCGCAACAGTGTAGCATATCATCGTGCAGGTCCAGACTTACACTACATGTGGCCCATGGGGGGAAGGACGACTGTAAACGCTGGTAAGTCTCTCATTTCCTTCTTCTTATTTTACACCTCCCCCATACTCCAATACGACCTTCGTTCCTTTCCGCCCAAATTATTTGATAGACATTAACAACTCTTTCTTTCACAACAGGATTGACACACTACGCCGATGGAAGAGTGCACCCAAAGGCTTGGTCAAGAGACATTGTTATCAGACAGCATGCAAATTCTCTATGTCTTACTCGCTTGAAGACGTCCGGTCCACTGGGTATTTGGGACCTTGGTTGGTGGTATTATCCCACGGCCACAATGTTCGACCAGTATGGTAATTCAGGCATGTTTGAGTTCGGTGTTAATGAATATAACACAATATCCGTTCACAACCGCGGCACGAAATCTTCCCCTCCGTCCGATACTCCCCATGATGAAAACGAGAAGACTACTCCAGGTGCGGAAGTCGATGAGAGCGAATCGTCAAATCTCAGGCCGTCAACGGATTAATCTTGTCTGAGTCTTCTAGGGAACGCGATGGAGGTATTACTGTTAGATATTTGACAGATCTTAGTATTATCTTGCTTGTCTTGATTATAGTATAGCAACTCGCCTAATCACGTTCATTAAAGCTAATGATATAATGTCTCTCATTTTTCGTCTGTGTCTTGGGCTTAGAATCTGGACGCTACTGCTTCTCAAGGTTGAACGCCTAAGTCCATTCTCTATTCAAAAATGGCTACACCTCAGATACTCAGATAGCATTCAATGAAACAATCATTACTCATCAACTGGCGTGCATTGCCCTGTGCTTTGTTTGACCTGAAGACTACAATTCATGTATCGAAATGACGATCATGTGATCATGATAGAGCTACTAGCTAGGCCTCGAACACCTTATTCTTAGTGCTAGCTTTCAATAGCCTTTAATAACAGCAAAGGGTATGAAAACATGTTCATCCATCTTGTATACACTAGCATCAATTCGTAGACCCTCCAAATTCAAATACAATAGAAGCGCGAGCTAGGTGCGACAATACCGACTCCGCTATTGTAATCCTTCTACCCCCTATGCAGTTTCTTTGCAGTACCAGCACACGCAAGACAATATACACTTGATCCATATTAAAAAGTGATAGTATATACCGCATACTATGAGACCCATGGAGCCTGAAACCTAAACTTATAAAGAAAGACAAGGTAATACCCATCTGTTGAAAGCAAGCAAGCAAGCAAGTAAGAAAGAAAGAAAGAAAGAAAGGGGACGCCGAAGCCGCAAGGACCATGCGATGATTGCCACTAGCCAATACAACTGATCCAGCTATATTTGTACCATTTGAGAGAAGTTCAATAGCCATTTTCAATTGGCAAAAGCTTTGCGCGCTTCGTGTGATTTGGTCTTGATCATATTTTCTGCTTGGTGTACGGCACCCTGAGACCTTTTCACTGCTATGTATTATGCTTCGTACATACCTCAGTGCTAAGCTAGCACTTTAGCAATCTTACAATGGAAAGAAAATATGACTATTGGTTAAATAAGGTCATGAAATTCAGGGATGCCCGAATATTATTTCTATCGCATGGAGGCAAACCGAAATTTTCCCCAAGGTCTAAATTGACAAATAGTAAAATAACGGTTACCCGGTATATTTGTCGTTACAGCACATCACTCACATACCATTAGGTCCCCCTTTCTTCCACAACACTTTGCATACCAGCCTGATATTCCGCACTCTCCCGGTCATAACTCACTACCATTAGGTAAAGCACATCCTAAAAGTAGTTAGCTTTGCACACTCCATGACTAAATAGCGGGGAAAATTGAGTTTGCATAACTAACCTTTTGCAGGATTCTCTTTATAAGCCCAGACTTTCTCTTTTTCCCAAGTCCCATGTCTGGAGTAATGACTTCTCCTCTTCGGTACGCCTTTCTAATGCTTTTATTCTGTCTTCTTTCTTCCTTTGCAGCTTCTCGCTCCGTTCTTCGCGCTTGAGGATTGACATGACCGCCAGTGATAAGGGAGATGAGTGACCCGCTACTAGCCGGGTGATTTGGATCAGAGTAGCGGGAGAGAAATTGCGGTTTAGGTGTGGCGAGAGAGCTGGTTGGATTTTGCATTGCCTAGTTTTGTTAGATTAGGATTTGTGGGGAAGCTAAACAAAACCTGGGGAAGTTGGCAGGATGAGTAACGTGAGGAAAGTGGAGAACTAACGTATTTGGCTTGGGCTCGACGATCGAAGTAATCGGTCACGAACTTTCCACTGTCCTTGAATTTGCTACCTTTCTGGGAGTTTTCACTCCCCTCAATATCGGCAATACGGTCCAATGCTGGGAAAATCAAGGGTGCTGCTTCTGGCATCTCGAGTTCTCCATATGTCGTCCCGCTTGATAGTTTGATGTTTTTCAATGTCTTTTTGAAACCTGTGGTTATATCATCAAGAGAAGAAGTAATGGCTTTGGTAATATCAACAGATGCGTGCGTTTCCGATGATTCGGGCTTATATATAAGTATCAAGCAGTATAGGCCACGAGGCATGAAATACTCATTGTTTATTCTATCGAGGAAGGTATTTGTCCTGCGAAATACCCATCAGCTCATATTGAGAACATTGAAACACGAAGGACCAACCTTGATCGTGATTGTAGCTCCATAGCCACACCAACTGCAAACTGAGTAGCAATAGATACACCCATTGTGATTGGGCCGGGCACGAATCCTACAATTCCGGCCGCTGCATTTATGACTTGCAACCACGGAGAAGATTTACTCGCATGGTAAAATGTTTTTAGGAAATCCAAGAAAGCAGCTTGATCAATCCCGCAATCTTCCAAGATTGGCGCATATGCTCTGATGAACCCACGCTTCTTGTCCCTAGGTCTGCGTTGTGGGAGAATGACTGGACAGGGCAATTTTGGTTTCTCAGCATTATATGCTGGAGGCGGATGATTACGCAAAAACACATTGACGAGCTCATTGGCATCTTGTGTAAACTCTTCAGAAGGGGTGGCTGGATCAGATATATCTGCCGCTTCGTCTAAAGCCCAAGCTTCCTCGTCTCCATCCCCTGATTCTGTGTCCGAGGAATCATCATGCTCGTATTTCTTTTCGAGTTCGTGCTTTTCCTTATCATTCACTGGAACAGCTTGGCCTCTTGCCATCATTCTCTCCGCATCCTCTGCGGATAGTTCAACATATCGAGGAGGGGCATCGCTGTACTCGTGATCGGATTGAGCACCTGCTCGACTACTTTCGCCATTAGACGAAGCCTGTGGTAGGTTTGATGAGGACTTATTGCGATGATGGTGAATTGTTTCTGATACAAGACCAACTCCTGAACCAATGAGTTTGACAAGAATGCCCATGGTTGTAATGTAAGTTGTGTTAATTGGTTAAAAAAGTGCAGTATTGTTGGAGAGAATGAAAACGCTAGATAACCTTAACGACGATTTGAGAAATGCAATGATACTTGGCCCGAATTCACCTCTCATTATATACTTACTATCTCATGCAATCTAATATAACTCTCCAGTTTCAAAATGATCATTCGTCAACAGGGCTGAGTGTTTACAAGTCTCAACATCTTGCAAACCTCATTTGGACAAGATGGACGGAGCTTCAGCTTAATCCCACTAATGGTGGGAGTGTGTGTATGGTCCGTGCGTTTTTGTCGATTGCATGCGGCCGTAATTATTTGAGAACTTTGCCTAATTGAGGCCATCAAACCGTAGGGCTATGCTTTTGTGGATTTTTCACAGGGTTATTTTGGCTCATCATGAACCGTCGACGATGCCTTTCAAATGATTCCAATCAAGCATCGTGATTGTCAGGTTAATATGCATATCAAGCTTCTTGGCAAAGCTTGAGTGTCCGAGGTTATAACCTTTCAGACGACATGTCAAGTCAGCGATGATCTATCTATCACGGCCTTCGACTTGTAAGTCGATACAGTGTTGTTCACTAAATGTTTGCACCTTTGATGACGAATCCGTGTTAATCCAGGTGGATCGATGCTCTCAATGGCAAACACACCGATAAGCATAGCCTACACAAAGCTTCTTGCAATTTGACTCTGCTAGAATAGCATCCAATCATTGCGAGTCTAATGCGGCTGAGTGTGGGGTAAATCGATCACTGTGCACACACACACCACCGAAATATATCTCTGATATTCGTGGAGGGACCACAGCCTGTCTTCTCGAAACACAATGGCGGCAATCCCACTTATCGAGGAAATGGGGCTGCTGACTCCTGGCTTGAGAATCCGGGGAAATATGAGTGGCGTGAGGGCCATAATTGGGCGAATTTTCCTGAGTGGGGGGTTCCGAGATGAATAGCAGGATATTTAACCCCCAAACTTGGGCGTCCCAGTTTTACTCCCTTTCGGGTGTATAAGATCTTCACCAGTACTTGAAGCATGGGGACACTCATACCATCCAATTTTGGATGCTGGAAATTCATTCTTCTTTTTTGTAAAAGACAAAACAATTATTTGCCATATGCCAATAAGCAATTCCAATACTCTCTAGGTCAGCAAGACATAATTGGCGATGATGGAATTCCAAGAGTATCCGACTTGTCCTCCAAAGATGGGGAGTATATTACTACCTCTGTAGCAGAGATCCTGGCGAAGCACTTAATACTGGATATCGCCGAAACGTGTCCTGCGGTTCAATCTAGTGGCTCTTCCAACACAATACCGACAGAGCCTCGGTTGTCCAATCCTCGATCGATACGCAGAGCATCCAGGCCATTGAACCCAACGATAAACGTCGCTTCTGGTTGTCAAAAGCCTTGAGACCGCTCCTCATGATGTTTTTGATGGCTCTTACTTTAGGCTTATGGCATTCCAGATTCACTGTTTCTCCTTCACAACGAGATCCTAGTATGGGTTTGGAGCAGAAAACCCTATTTCTCTCGTTCGGATGGCGATTCTGTCTTTGCTTTTGGCTGTCACTTATGCTTATTACTGCCGTGACCGTGATGAACGATATCACGCGCATGGAACCTTATGCAACACCGCCGGATCTGATCTGACGGCACTCCTAACTTGGACTCTAATTTTCAGAAGCAGCGAATATTTGGGCTCGACCTATTTGATACATTAAGAAAGCCGCATCGAGGCCTCTCTTTTGGTGTGGAAGGAACATAATTCTACCTTGCCAAATCACTCTACGCTGGGCAGCCCTATTGTTGCTTTTGGCGCCCAGATCAATGTCGATATACAAATGATAATAACGAATACTGGTATGTTAGATTCGACTTCTTCTTAGAATGTTCTTAATGCCTCTTGTTGTATTTGCATCAATATCAACCTGACATATCTAATTTTGCTTCACTGGTCTCCAACAGGTACTCATAGTTTTGCAGCCACTTCTGAAAGTTGAAGCATCCATATGGAAATATGTGACTGCTTGAGGTTGGTGAATCGGTACCGCCAGGCGCATGGCTTTACAATTCAATCACATCTGGCTAATACTAGTGTATCTGCAACATCAATTCTCAATATTCGATTAAAGCATCATCAATCAGCAGTTTAGCTACAATATTTTGCCTGGCTATACTGATAACTTCAATACAAACTACGATTGGGATTTTGTTCTGGCATCGACACTAATTGCGACTTTTACTACAAGATGTTGGAACACTTGGTAGTAAATTACGTTCGTTTACAGCAACGAGGAGTTACTATTAGCCATAAGAAAGCACTCAGGAGCTTCAAATGATGTAGAAACTTGACAAACATAGGGCATTTCGAGTGTTGTGGAGTATTGGAGTTGTGAACGAGAGGAATGAGAAGGAAGCCTTCCAAAGTGGAGACTAGATGTTTCTCCTCCCATTAAACAATCCCAAGAAGAAAAGCGGCCACTGACTGTTGGCAACTCATTAAGATTTTATTCTAGCCAAACTTACTTTTGAAGGTACGACTGGGTAATAACATAATTTTACTGCACACCTCCGGTCCTACAAAAGAGGCTATGCACGGCATGAAGCCACCAACAATTCATCCGCGATTACGAACAAATTGGGCATCTTCATATAACCATCCAGCGACATCTCTTCGTAGATCCCAACTTTGCATCCTTCGAATGCTTTCAGATGTAACAGATTATAAGCGCCAAGATTTCTTTATGTCAATACCCTAGCTTTTATGTTATGCGCCTTATTTTGTGCCACTGATCCTGCATACCTATAGAATACCCACAATACCACCATGTAAGTGCTTACAATCAGGCTGTGAGTTATCTTTGTCATATATTCACCCTCCCATATATCAATCAGAAACTTGATGTTCGTTCAATCGAATAGTTCATTAAGTGAATGATTAAGATTTCATGTTCAAATGCCAATTAGATGTCGAGTGAATAACGTTCTCGCCTTATTAGGATTAGGATAGTTCTTTCCTTTCACTCAGAGTCTTCTGGTTCCAAAAGTTTTGGACATTTCATTATACGCAACAACCATTTCTTCCATATAATGCATTATTCTAAAACCCTCCGCATACTTTCTCTCCCACACCCTAATGCGCTCATACCAAGTCGCAACGCCTTTCTCTCTTTCATAACAAGTACCGCCATCTGGCTCTTGCTGTTTTCGTTTTCCCGTCATGTTTATTGGCGAGACCCACACTCCGCATTCTTCGATAGCACACATGTCTATGAGAGAGACTATTCTGATCGACGCCAATCCTCGGGGTTATCGTTTCTAGATGGTCTGGTCGAAGGTAATAAGACATATTTATTCAGTAATTCTACTTCGAATCTTTCCGGAGACTCAGATGGGGATGGCGATACAGAGGTTCCTGATATGTGTATAGCATATGTAACCATCAAGCGCGACATGCAGGATAGGAATGAAGGAAGACAATATATAGATGCAGCACTAGGAACCATGGTAGATGGATTGAGTGAGGAGGAAAGGAAGAGAGTGTGGATTTATGTGTTGTTTGCAGATATGGATCCAACTGTTCATCCGTTATGGGATGAAGAATGGTTGTGGAGAGTAGTAGATGATTATGGTGGATATGACGTTAGAGGGGAGAGGAGAGAGTGGCTGGAGGAATTAATGAAGCAGAAGGAATGGCAGATTAAAGGAGTTTTGTAAGTTTTCTTCTGTGGAACTCAGAATGCCAAGCTAGTTAGCAGATTCCAAGAACTAACAACACACGAGCGATTACGTATACGCGTTAAGCCGCTGCTATGATACCCACGCTCCTTACATAGCAATTATGGAAGACGACATTATATTCGCTCATGACTGGTTCCAGCGCACCATTTCTGCTCTCAATAAAATCGAGTCTCTCTCTCAAAATCCTGGAGATCAATTTTACAATTGGATATATTTAAGACTTTTCTACACAGAAACATTTCAATCATGGAATGAGGAGGTAGATTTCTGGTATCGACATAGATATTTTCTACTTTTTTTCGCTGCTCCTCTCTGTACAGTTATCGCTCTGATATTCATGCGAAGCAAAATCGGCGAGAAAAGGAAAACAGGAGGTTGGCTGGATAACTGGGTGATCTTTGTTATAGGAGTCGTGGTTGTACCAGCCTTCATAACTCTGGGGTTTATGGTTGGTAAACACAATTTGCCATGGTGGGGATTCAGAGGGAAATACGTGGTGAAGATGAATAGTGGAGGATGCTGTACACAGGCTATGGTTTTCCCAAGGGAGCAGGTGGAGGGATTGAGTAGTTACTTGACGGGAAGAGGAAGTGGCCAGACGGATTTAATGATTGAGGATCTCGCGGAAAACCAGGGTATGGAGAGACTGGCACTTGGGAAACAGGTCGTGCAACATGTAGGAGCAAAGAGTATGTTTTTTTCTTCTTTTGTGGGGGGAGATTGAATGAGATATTCATGAGACTGATTTTGTGTGTAGGCTCGAGAGGTGATAACCCAATCAACGCTATGAGTACTTGGGCATTCCACTTTGAGGAATACGACAAAGTTTCTGTGTTTAGAAACTCGGTGTATGAAGAATCTTGATCTAAAGATCTGTGAACTACCAGGCCAGTGACTATCGGATGAATCTCCTCGCTGTTTCATATTTTCGGAATATGAAAACAAATCACTGTTCTCGAAACCACGCTAGTAGGATATCAAATACGAACCTGCCTCTTTCTATTTCCAGTCTCTTAATCATCCATTACATATAACAACTATCCCACTGCAGGCAGCTTTGGGTCCTTCCCTCCAAGAGTTAATGCTGCGTCTGCTCGATGTTAAAGAGAATGCTTTATCGGCTATGATTGCCTTTAGGCACAAGTATAACACGTGGTTATCGTAGCGGGGAAGCTTACTATCTGCGAGCTGACTGCCCTTTGGCAATGAGACTTTTGGGGCCAAGTGATTTTCATTCATCTATGAGGAATCAGGGCACGAATATTGGAGAAGCGAAGAGTAGGTTGTTCGGGATACGATGAACTGTCAGGATTGTATGAATTCTTGTTGCCTTTTGGCAGAAGCGGTTAGGTATCGATGTGATGATCAGGTAAAATTAGAGTAGGGAACGAAGAAGAGGAAGAGAAGAGAAGAGCAATAAGATCGAAAGACTTCAGTGGTTCGAAGCCAAAGAAGAGTGATAAATACGTTAGATAGCCTAATTTCGATGGCAGTCGCCCATTCTTGGATCGAAACTCGAACTGTTCCTTGTTACCTTTTGACAATAAACAGGGCGTTGGGATGCGATTGATATGTATTCCAAGTTCTGATATTTTCGGATCAGAGTCACCCGAATACTCGGTTCCCATATTTGGCATTGCGATTTTCCTTTAATATCTTGAGTATTCTAATAGGGAGTTCTTGGTAGATGGAGAATTCAGCTTGATGACCAGAATTTTCGAAAGTCGAAACAAGACACGTGAAGGGGAACCTCCTAGGTATTGTCACATCAGGATGGTATGTCATCTGGTCTTTGAAAAATCGACAGAATTTAATACTTGGATGAACACTATCTGAAGCCTCATGCAGACATTGCCAAATCACTGGTATCATAGTACATGCCTAGAGCATGCATAGCCTATCAAATTGAGATGGTCGGAATGCGAGGAAATAGGCAGGTGCTATCAGACAGCGGGGTTTTTCGTGGACGCTATGCTAGAAAAACTCCACTCACCCAATTTTACCGAATCCCACGATTAAACTGTTGCTGCCTAACTTGATACTGATCCCAGTGTACATGCTAATCATCGACTTTGAAGCTAGCAGAGCTTAAACCTTACCTCAAATCAACGATGTAATCTGTTAGGGACCTACTCAAAATGAGATATATCGATAGTCTCCTTGGAAAATGTGACATCGTTGCGTACGAAAACGGTCGTGTCAGCTGAATGTGAGTATGAGGTAAAGTGCATCGCTTGCCGGGGAGGGGTATCTGATGATACCCTACTCTACGCACAAACTTGTGAAGCTCGAAAATACTTGGGGGCTACGTATCATCGTCAAGCTGACGTCTGATGAACAAAAATGGAGCTCTATATAAACACAATCACAGACGAGAGACGAGTTCGTACTGAAACAGAATATCCTCCATTAATCCAAATTTCCGAGTCAAAGGTTCCAAGGACCCGTTGAGTTTGACAATGCCTGTAACCATTAAAGTCGCGGAGCATGATGCAGAAACATTTAAGCCAAACTGGCGCGATCCTCCAAAATATGGTTACAAAACGAACGCAGCGCCGGTTCAAGAACCAAATAGGTCATTCTTGCGTGACTTACTCAAGGATTTGGCACCGAAAGACCCAAAGGCCCTGAAAAATTCAAAATCCAACAGTACTATAATACAATCGACACTTACCGAAGAGATCGCAAGTAAGGTTCTCCCATCTGGGAATGGCTTAGTGCATACCTGTCTCGAGGCGTATAATCACCATCGTCATCCTGTCCTTCGTCCTGATGATATTAGGATCGCTATTTTGACTCAATTCTCATTTTATGTGAATAAGCATTCTGAGGAACTACTTCATTCTTTGTTGGACATGAGGGGAAAGAAGAGCTAGTCGTTGAAAATGATCATTTTGACTTCACAGTTTTTACTACTAATTTGGCCGACATGATCCAGGTATGTGTATTTCTACTACGCTCTTGTATCACATTATATAGCATGTTGACTTAATCGTTGTGTGTTAACTTGTAACTAGGAAAATATCGTGGACAAAAGCTTCCAGTCATGGATTTTACCGGCATTTTCGACCACGACGCGTATCGACACCATTGTATGTAGCTCAGTGATGATGAGCACCATGAAAAAGTACTTCAATTACAAGTACGTCACGGCACTTTCCAGAACCTTTTATCCTATGGGGCACCATAACGTATACTCACCTGTTAGTGCTGTTGTTTTGTGTGGTATACCTACAGTCACATTACTCGGGGAGGTATCAGACTGGGAAGAAATCCTTCGCCGGCTGGATAAGCTTGAATCGTTTGGGCCAGCTCATCCAGAATTGATACACTGGAAGGAGATACTTACTCCGGTAATCCAAAATATGATACTAACCTTCGAAAATCATGGAGCCACAGCCCAAGTTGACTTCTGGTCAAAAATCGCTCATATCAAGAGATTAAGTGGCGGATCAAGCTTATCCGGGTGGCTCACAGTTTTCTGTGCCTTTAATGAAGACGGAGAGTGGCAAGTAAAAGAGAGGAGACCAGGTCAGGGCAATCGTTCAATGAGTGAGCCTCCCCAATATCCATTTATAAAAATTGCCAATATACCCACTGGTAAGTGTCATGTTAAGGTTCGGATCAATGGAAGGATCGAAGTCGATGCTATGATTGTAGCCGGCCTGGTAGGCGCTTCACTCTCTTCTCGGAATGGGGATGATGCCATCCTTGACACGGTGCAACCTTACCCTGCATGGAGCATCTTTGCGCTGAACGATGATATGTAAATGGATGTCAGAATCTTCCAGGATGATAAGAGTTTTCTACTTTTGTCATTGTTTGCCAGATGAGTTGGATCTTTGTTCAATAGATCTATTGAAGGGCTACCAAGGCCGCAATAAAGATGCGATATCAAAGTAATCTTAGAGTAAAACCCTGTTGTAACACAATACTACCTGAGCCAATGTAATTCTCCACAAGACAGAGGTAATGCCAACCCTTGAGCCCGCTAAGAATATAAAGGGGGCTTCAAGGACTTACTTTTCATAATTCAATCAAAGGTCAATCTCATGATTCGAATATATCAATGTTAAGAGTATTCCAGATTCTATAGAGCTCAAATGAATGCCATCATAAAGAATAAAAAGAAATAATGATTGGCCGTTTTAATATTGAATTATCGTCGAGGGGTAAGATTGTTGATTTTTAGTTTTTCCAAGCCCCTTCTCAAAGCTTCCAATTTTCTGCTGTGTTAACTTTCGCAGCTCGTGGAAAGATCGAAGGATTAAGAACACCCAAATCAGATCTGCAACAGAAACTCAGGAGTGTTAAGAAAGTCACGAGTTTCAATGATGGTTGGTTGATTGGGGGAGCGAACTTATTGATCCGAAGTTGCTCCGAATAAAGTCTTGCTTTGGACGACCGCTCTTCGACTGGCTTGCCAGCTTATGCCATTCTTGGTATTATACACTTGTGCGATACTTTCTGGACATTCTCTGATAGATGTTTTGATGGTGATGCTTATCGGTCTCGTGATAGAATACTGTGTTTCTATCACCATGATACTCCTCAGCAGAATCAGATAATCTGTCACATTAGCAAAACTGCACTCTTGCTAGCGTCCCAGACTTGTTCGTTCATTTCTCTGTCGGCGGACTCAAGTCTTACTATATCTTATTTCGGAGCATGAGGAAAGCATTGAGCTGAAGATACAAATCGTGGTCTGGGCTGCAGCTGATGACGGACGATGGGCTCAACGATGGTGGCGCTGCTTTCCTACAAGAAGGGCGGAATGCAGTATTGATGATATCTTGCTTGAAACGGCAGAGAATATAGATGATAGAACGAACTTACGATATCGCAAAACTAGTTGTACAGCAAAAGTGGATGCTACGACTACATAGAAGAGGTAATCTCCGTTTCTCGATATATTCAACCTTCTTCACATACCGGTATCCACTTTCTACCCATATCACATTCAATTGACTGTCATAATTTGGGTTTCATTGTTTCTTCTTCACACTCCTTGGTATGAATACAATCATCAACCATGCAATCGGCACCTAAGTATGTCAAACCAGCTTTAAAGCATGCTGTTACGTGCCACATATCTCATGGCCACTTTCAAACTTGCAACAAAAGCTGCGTTGGATAATTGACACTACGCAGATTCGAATTTTTGTCCAGTTGTAAATGTTCTTTCTTTGTATTGTATGCGAGCATTGTGGATTTATTGCTTGGACCTATGTTACATTGTCGAATTAGAGTGATGAAAGAGGCAGGCTCCGGGAAAAAAGCAAGAAAGGAGATGACACTCAGTGGTATCAAGAATGGCATAGAACGGGCCAACAGTGAATCAAATCAAATTCTATGGGTCATAAGAAAGAACGGAGGAACAACGGCGCGAGAAACCAAAATAAGATAAGAGAGAACATGAGGTATGATTCGTTCATAAATATCATCACTTAGAGAGCAAACTTGAAGTATAGAATTTGATGATATTGACATGGAATAAAGAACCAATCTCAAGGGGCAATAGAGCAATAATTCATAAAAGCAGAGAAATTCTCAGTGCCCTTCTCTACGGTACGCTAATAGCAAATTCGAATGAACTTCCGCGTGATTGCGCGAGATTCACTATGAAGTATCGCCTAGCCATGGTATTTTGGTTCACCCGCACAAATAAATATAAAGCTACTTGGAATATCCTGAAGTTCCTAAACATCGACACCTCCACAAACTTATTCAACAGAGGGTCAAGAGGTGCGTTTGAGCCTGCACAACCTCCTAAGCTGTACAGAACAAAAGATTTTCTTAATGTTACCTCTTCTCAAGTGTTTACACATACAAAAAAAAACTCCGTATTACCAAATATTCGATCTATATCTTCTCTCACCATGGCAACCCCAACACTCTACACTGGCAAGTCAATTACGAATGTCTTAGCTACGGAACTTCTTGTTCTTGTCTGCGAATCTCTTTCCCGTGAGGACTTGACCAATTTTCGATTGGCAAATAAAATTTGTGCTGAGGTCGCGTCTAAAAACCTCGTTCAAGATTTGCATGTCATATTCACAGAGAAAAGTTTCAGTAACTTGTTGAATATATCAAAGCAACTAAATCTTTCGAAGCATGTTAGAAGTATATCGTATGAGCCACGGACCTTGCGAACTCTTTGTAAGAACGAATACATCAATTACATAGTTGAGGAGCTGAGACCCATGCCTCGACTCAACGAAGAAGACCTGGACGAGGGGTATGAGCTGTACAACCACATTCGCCGGCGTGAAGTCTACTTGAATGCGTTAAAATACGATATCGTTGTCTTCGCACAAGCTGTCCCAAAGTTCTCAAACTTCAATAAGATCGTCGTGGATGACGCCGGATTACCATCTGATCAATTCATGCGCTCTTACAACTGCAAGGCACATCTTTGTAAGGATATGTTCAGCCTTGATTCGAGCCAGAGCTATAATGCCTATAGGTACGGGAGGTTACACGCGCTATTTCTTGCTGCTAGCCTTGCTGGCGTAAAACTGAAGACTTTTAGAGCCACAGCTCTACCTTTGGCATTCTTCGGCGCGACGCCAATGAGCTGTACCGATGTGGCTCTTTCTGCCTTGCAACATGTTCAGCATATCGACATTACCATCAAAGTCGGCTATGAAGAATGGCAAGCCCACATCAATGGACTTGTTACTCGCCTTACACAATTCTTATCTCTCGCCTCAAATCTCGAGAGTCTTCGTATCGATTTGGGGGATCCTGAAGAAAGATCAATGGAGCCAATCCCTTTGGAGGTGGTAATTAGAGGCACTGGTAATTTCCCAAAGCTACGCAGTCTTAACCTTCGTCATTTCTCGTGCACCAAAGAATTTTTCTCAGAGTTTCTTCAAAAGCATGCGGATACACTAGAACATTTATCACTTGATACAATGACGATGGCGAGTGATTGTCCTGGTTGGGGTAATGTTTTCAATACACTTGAAACTGATTTGAAGCTCAAGTCTTGTCATTTCACTGGTGTTTGGTTTGAGGGCTGGGATAGTGAAAAAGAAGACGTCACTTATCCAATAAAGCTTTCCGCATCATATACTGGAACTTGGTCAAGTTCTCTGGGCGAAGTGCTACAGCACCGTGTCATCAAGAAGTGTATGCCAGCGGGAGACGAATGGATAACCATGGATGAGATTTGGGCCACCGCTACGAGAGAGTCCGAGGAGAGAGGATACGAAATCTATAGTGATGATAGTGCTGATGATTCCGATAGTGACATCTATGATATTTATGGTTACGAGGATCTTCTAGATGCGGATGATTTTGGCCACTACATTCACGATCAAGACGAAGAAGAAGACGAAGACGACAATGATGAAGATGGTGAAGATAGTGATGATGACGACGACCAGGATGAGGATGATATCAGGATACTCATAATCTAGGATTATTTCTTGTCTCTCCAATATGACGAATTGTACATTTCCTAGTTATTTACCCATATCATGAAGTTATCGAGGGTTGGCTTGCACCGAAGTAGATGACTTTCGTTGGCTTTCCATCATATTCCAAGAGTAATATGTACAATAATCAATCAAAAAATAATATGAACTCATATTTGCTCTACGATGGTAAAATTTCACGTGTATTGATTATGTGAAATATTTTTACGAGCATGCAATGACTTGTTTCCATTTTTCACGTCAAGGTGAGTCTGTGTTTCTGATAGTCCGGACTACAGTCTACTGATATTCTAGATTCTGGATTTCAGGCTCTGGGGATGTCATCTTTCAATTTTAGAAATGAAACTATTTTCAACACCTAAAAGTAACTAAACACCCTAAGATTCTCGATTCTTGGACTACAGTCCACACTGCTAGACACCCTGAGCTCCTCAGCACCCATCAAAGTATCCAATACTCACCCCTAAATACCCCTCATCTCACCTCATCAATATCATCTACCAATCCCCCATCACCTATCCATTCACATACACTTCATACACTTCTCGCATACTTCTCACACACCTACATATTAATCTTACATTCTGAACTACCACGCCTTCATACACTCCCATCCTTCTCTAAATCGAAGCACTCTCTTCTCCACCAACCTACATAGATAGAATGAATCAAGTATCAAGACTTACACCACAAACATCCTTGATACACCAACTGTCATACTTTCATTTGGTTCTAAATACTAATCATTACTCTGCATCTCAGCGCTACTCCTCTCATGATTCATCTGTCATACGGGATATTTCCACTTGTCGTAATTCCAAATAATTCCTCATTTCTCGGTTAGTGTATCTTTCACCTTCTTTCTTGCCCTTCCGCCTTTTTTAATAACCCCTTTTATACACTTACGCATACACTTACTCCCATCTCCCCAGCTATCCCTCAGTCTTCAAACTAGTTTCCCAAAATCAAAATTCCAACACCAAACTTCCCACACATACATCTATTTCTTCAAACCTCAAACCCGCTTCTCACATGCCTCCAGCCCACCAAGACTATTTCTTTCTTTCTAAAAGCCATACGTACCACTTATGTATATCTCATGGATATCTACATCTTCCTGCCCATCCCTCAATCTCCAATCTATTCTTCAACATCCAACATTCCCGCACCAAACGTCCCACACATACATCTATTTCTTCAAACCTCAAATTCCAAACTTCAACCCCTCCTCCCTTGAAACTCAAACCACCATCTCTCGCACCCCCCCATCTCCCTCTCCTCAATCAAACACCACAATCTACATCTCACCTCCCTCCTCATTTCCTTCC